ACAGTCGGCGCGCCCCCGCTCTCTGCAACCGCCATGCGCTCCTGGCAATCCGTGCACCGACGGAGTGCACCTCTGCTCACCTCTGCAGCAACGACCGGCGGCCTCCCTGCCTCCCCACACCACTGTCTGGACACGCCTCTACTCACCCCTGCAGCAACGACCAGCGGTTTCCCTGCCTCCCCACACCACTGTCTGGACACGCCTCTGCTCACCCCTGCAGCAACGACCGGCGGCCTCCCTGCCTCCCCACACCACTGTCTGGACACGCCTCTGCTCACCCCTGCAGCAACGACCAGCGGTTTCCCTGCCTCCCCACACCACTGTCTGGACGCGCCTCTGCTCATCTCTGCAGCAACGACCGGCGGCCTCCCTGCCTCCCCACACCACTGTCTGGACACGCCTCTGCTCACCCCTGCAGCAACGACCAGCGGTTTCCCTGCCTCCCCACACCACTGTGTGGACACGCCTCTACTCACCTCTGCAGCAACGACCGGCGGCCTCCCTGCCTCCCCACACCACTGTCTGGACACGCCTCTACTCACCCCTGCAGCAACGACCGGCGGCCTCCCTGCCTCCCCACACCACTGTCTGGACACGCCTCTACTCACCTCTGCAGCAACGACCGGCGGCCTCCCTGCCTCCCCACACCACTGTCTGGACGCGCCTCCGCTCACCTCTGCAGCAACGACCGGTGGCCTCCCTGCCTCCCCACACCACTGTCTGGATGCGCCTCTGCTCACCTCTGCAGCAACGACCGGCGGCCTCCCTGCCTCCCTACACCGCTCCCTGGGCACGCCTCTGCTCACCGTTCCCGATCCGACTGGCGGCATCCTTCTGCTCCGCTCGCCACCGCCATGGGGGCAGACCTTGAACGTCTGGACTGGCCCGGGGTGAGGGACCTGCCCGACAGGTGAGGGGGGGGGGGCAGCCCCACCGGACTCGTGTCATCCGCCTGGGCCACAGCTGCGCGACCGAGAGCCGGCCGACGGGGTGGGTGTCCCACTGCACCGAGAGGCGCCGGCGTTCTCGGCCCCGCTGCGCGCCGGCCTGCTCAGCGGATGTCTCTCCCCTGCAGTCAGACCACCACTGTTGCTCTCTGTGACCTCCACTGGGCGCGCCGCTGAGCTCGACCGGGGCCCCACCTGTCTGCCTGTCCGCCTGTCCGCCTGATCAGGGCCCACCTGTCCACCTGTCCACCTGGCCAGGGCCCACCTGTCCGCCTGTTCGCCTGACCAGGGCCCACCTGTCCGCCTGTTTACCTGACCAGGGTCCACCTGTCCACCTGTCCGCTCGACCTGGGTCCATCTGTCCGCCTGTCCGCCTGACTAGGGCCCCACCTGTCCGCCTATCGGCGCCTGCCCCGTCAGCGCCCCTCCCACATGCCGACCTCCTCCCGAGCGGGGCCCTCTGGCCGGCCAACCCCCCTCCCCCTCCCCAGCGGCCCTGCCCGCTGCCTTGACCGCACGCTGATCTGCACCCCGGGTGACCAGTCCATTAGTGGACCTTCTCGAGGGCCCCTGCGACCGTCCTTGCACCCGCCGCGAGCACTGACCGGCTATGTTTAGCACGGGACAAGATTTGCACGAGGCGCGGCCCTGCCCACAGCACGTGGCGAAACTGCAGGAGTACAGGTGCCGGCTTCTCAGCCTGATACGGATATCGCAATGATTTTTTACAGCACGTGTACACAGCCAGATGATGGTACCGTTTGGGGTCCTTAGAGCCTGTGTATCATTATGGTGATTCCGTAGATCGAGGGATCCCTCGCGCTGGTCCAGAACTTCCTACCTGGTGGCTCTTGGTACCACAGAGCAGCGGCTTGTCAGCAAAGGCGGTGGTTAGGTGAGTTTTGTGACCTCCAAATGACATTCCATTAAACGGTGTATGGTATCACGGATGCAGACGGCATTCCTTACGCCAGCCTTTTCAAGATCATCCGCCTAGCCGGAAGAATGTCGCCCAGTTGAGAGCCACCGCAGCGATCTGTCACGACGATAGCCACGCGCGGCGGGTCGGGCGGCCGGTCGGCGGGTCCGACCCGAGCGGCTGGCCGGCGCGACTGTCGGGTCGGCCCTGCACACGACCACAGGCAGGACTGCGTCGCTCGCCCGTCGCGAGCCGGCCGGTATGCAAGTCAAATGGGCGCCGGCGCGAGTCACTGTCCGGCCCGGCGCCTCTGCCGATGGCCCTCGATAGGGTCCCTGGAGGCGGGAGCCGGGCGCGGCCGGACCGCGCGAGACGTCGCTCCGACCGGGCGTCGCCGCCAGCGGAGGGACTTCACTCCACCGCAGGTCCTGGCGGCGACAGCGGCAGAACGGAAGCTCGACTGTATGAAAGGGATGTTTCTGATTGTCGTTAGGGCGAAGGAGGTGAAAAGTTCGAGTCCGTTCTCGGCGCATGTTAAGTGTGTCGCATTCTCTTAAGCTCTCTACATAAATGGCGTTAGTTATTTGCTTAGAAGAGAATTGGCTACTGCATGCGCGTACTTGCGGTTGGCTTGCGGAGGCGGCTTGTGGTCGGCTTGCGGAGGCGGCTTGTGGCCGGCTTGCGGAGGCGGCCGCGGCAGGGGATGCCCCTCGGAGCCAGGTATGGTGGGAAGGAGGGACTCCCGGCCTTGGTGGCTCTGGTGCGCGCGCGCTTACCGAGGATGGCGGCGTCTGGAGGTTGGCAAGACGTGATGACTTCAGGCATCATCCCGGCTACTGATGGAGGGTTCGTGGCGGAAGGCGTCCGCTCGCCGGCCGGTTCGCTGGGGTGCGGTAGGTAGTACCAACCTGTGCGCACGGGACGTAGAACTCCGTGGGCTCGAGTCGCATAAGAGGCCTTCTGATCTCGTGAGTGATGTGAGGGACGTATCTGCCACGCCAACCGTGTCGTTTGTTCGTCACGCTGTATGCACAGCAGCGGTGTCTGGTCCAGCGCCTATGCCATTATTCCATGAACGGGAAACGTTCGGGTGGCCGGTCAGGTTCGGCAGAACGTCCTGTTTCATTCCAGGCTGAATCCTAGGCTCTCAATCTCACGCAGACTGAACCATCGCATGCAGTTGCATCAAAGAGGCAGTAATACAGTATGGACCAGACGCGCCGGGCGTCCACTCCTCACGCTCTCGCGTCCAGCTGCCGGTGTGTTCCCCACCCCCTGTGCCCGTGCCTCGGCCCGTCCCTGACAGGCGTGTGCGGCCCGTCCATGTGCAGTCGTCGGTCGGCATTTCCGCCGCCGCGCCGGCGGCGCCACCTGGCGGCCGGCCGCACCGCCGAGCGTCTGAGCGGTGACTCTGAGGACGTTGGCCGCCTCTTCTCGGCGCCGGCCGAGACGGTGTTTGCTCAGCGTCCTGTTTGATTGGTGGGTCATGCCTCGCATGCGGCGTGTGGACGCTGCACGGCCACCATGCCACTTCAGTCACGAAGTCTGACTTAGCCGAACAAAAGCGACAATGGCGCCTGACGGGAAATTGCCTGCATCAGAACGTGACGTTGAGATAGCAACATGCTTTGTAGCCCTGACTTTGACTATGCACATCGATAGGTACTGTGTCAAGATAATTCAATCACACGCGCGCTCGTTTTGTATAAATTTGAGATTTGGTGTCAAAGATATTAGATACATTACCTTGGTCTGGCTGAAACAGCTGCGGGCTGCACGTTTGTACTTTTACAAACCAATGTTATGTCGTACGTAACGAACATGCTACGCGCGACGAACAGTAACCCAGCGCTTCCACAGAGTGAGACATTCATATTTGGGTATGCATGGCGCAAATCTTCATTTGTGCGTTCCAACACGCTAGGGTCATTCAGCACTGCTGAATCAGTGCTTGAGATCTTCCTTCGTCTTGAATCGTTCCTGGAATAGGTCCTTCAGTCTCCTCCAAGGCACTTCTCTCTTTCCACGTATGGTGGAGCTATGCCGCTGTCGCCCTAATGCTTCATAGGTTTTGCAAAGTATGCCTGCCACATGAGAGCGCTGTGGAGGAGGGTGAGATCGTGGTTCACAATGAGGCCACGCCGCTCTAGCGCGTCCATACGCACACGTAACAAGATCAGCGTAGGGCCTCGTTGCGTGTTGTGCGATGACCAAGCATGAGCCTTGTTACGTGCTACGCGGTAACCAGCATAGGGCCTTGTTACGTCCATGCGCACACGAAACAAGGCTAGCCACCGCGTCGCCGGTAATAGGGAGGGAGGGGTGGGGGCAGAGAGGCTCCGCTCGCTGGGCCGTGTCCTCGGCAGGGCGCCGCGGGGGGAGGGGGACTCGCCGATCGGCGCCGCGCCGCAGTGGGCCGCGTCCTCGGCCCCCGATCTGACGCCCGATGGCCCTGGCCGCACACGGGTCGACGGCCTGGCGGCCTGGAACTCCCAGCAGCGCCCGCGGCGCCGCCTGAGTCATGCCGCACGCGACTCAGGGCGCTTCTCTGAACGGCGCGCGCGGCGGCGGCCTTCCGCGAGCTCCGGTGCGACGCTGGCCGGGGTGACGGCAGCACATTGCGGCGGTATGGCAGGTCATTGCCCCTCTTCCCCCCCCCCCTCCCCCGCTATCCCGGGATGTCAAGGTGGCAGCCCGGCGGCGCCACGCTCTTGGAAAAACACCGACGGCCGGGTATTGTTAGCAGTGCTCACGCGGCGTGGACAGGACGCCTTCGCTTTGGTTTGTGCCGTGTGTCCGCATACGAGACCATTGTCTGGATGGATGCGCGGAATGCTGTCAAGTGTTCTTATGCCAGTTATAGCGCAGCCTTTTAGGTGCGAATTACGATGTTATCTAGCCTATCTTTCCTCCTCCCTCTCCTCCACTCCCCCCCCCCCTCTCTCTCTCTCCCCTCCCTCGTTTTCTCTTTTCACCACCTCTGTATCCCGCCCTCTCTCACTCCTGATACATCTCGCCGTCTCCCACCCTGCGAAGCCTCCTCCGAACCTATCACTTCATCTCCCTCTCTCTTTCTCACCCCTCTCAGTCCCCCAGGCTGCACGTGTCCGCCTGACCTCCGTCTCCGTTGACAGCGCTCCCGTGAGCCAAAGCGACCTCGGGCGGGCTGGCCGGGCGCGGCGCCGTCGGCGGCGGGCCGCGGGCACCCACCATGGAAGTGACGCCGTTCACGCACCTGGAGCCGCTGGCCTCGCTGGCCGAGCCCGAGGACCTGTCGGGCACCGAGAGCGCCGCCGAGCCGCTGCAGCCCGACACCAACCACGTGGGCACGACCAAAGCGTCGGCGGCGGCGGCGGACGAGGAGGCCGGCGCCGAGGCCGAGGAGCGCCTGCTCTTCGGCTGGGGCCGCTGCACGCCGCCGGCGCTGCAGCGGCTCGTCAGCCAGCGCACCTTCCTGGTCGTGTTCGTGGTGACGTGCGTGCTGCAGGGCATGTACTACACGTACGTGGTAAGCGTCATCACCACCATCGAGAAGCTGTTCCAGTTCCAGTCGAAGACGACCGGCATCGTGTTCAGCGCCACCGAGATCGGTCAGATCAGCGGTGCGCTGCTGCTCACCTACTACGGCGGCCAGGGACACCGGCCGCGCTGGATCGGCTGCGGCATCACCCTCTTCGCCTTCTGCACGTTCATGTGTTCGCTGCCGCACTTCATGTACAGCGAGCGGCTGTCGACGCTCGACCTCATCCAGGTGGACGTGGGCGACGAGGAGCGGCGCACGCTCTGCCGACAGCTGCCGGTCGTCGCGGCCGGCAACGTGTCTGAGCGCGTGCTGTTCCCGGGCGAGCTGAACGGCACGGTGTGGCGCGTAACGGACGCCGGCGCCGTCGAGACGGAGCCGCCCAGCGAGGGGATGCGCTGCGAGGACGACGTCCAGCTGACCACCCACGCCGAGATCAGGCCAGTGGTGCTGGCCATCTTCTTCGTCTGCCTGATCGGCGTCGGCGTCGGCCAGACGATGGCCTTCAACTTGGGCATCCCCTACATGGACGACAACGTCAGCAGCAAGGAGTCGCCCATGTACTTCGGTGAGTGGCGGTCCGGCCGGCGGGACCGGTCCCGTTCGAGCTGACGAGTGGGCTGTCCGAAGCGCTGTCACGTGGGTCTTCTCGCCACGTGGGTCTCGTCGTCACGTGAATCTCGTCGTCACGTGGGTCTTGTCGTCACGTGGGTCTTCTTGTCACGTGGGTTTCGTCGTGACGTGGGTCTTGTGAGCCTTGTCGTGACGCGGGCCTCGTCGTGACGTGGGCCCTGTCGTCACGTGGATCTTATCGGCATGTGGGTCTCGTCGTCACGTGGGTTTCGTCGGCACGTGGGTTTCGTCGTCACGTGGGTCTTGTGGGCCTTCTCGTCACGTGGGTTCTATCATCACGTGGGTTTTGTCGTCACGTGGATCTTGTCGCCACGCGGGTCTTGTAGGTACGTGGGTCTTGTCGGCACGCCGTGACGGTTTGTGTTATGGCCGCTGTGAGTGCCGGGCGGATGTCTGATGGTAGTCACGCCGCGAGCCGGCGTTGTCTGCGATCTTCATCGTGGAAATGCGGATGCTCATGTGCCCCGTTTTATCCTTCATGTATGGTCGGTTTGCTTCGCTGCCTCAAGATAACCGCATACCGGCCTCAGACCGCGCCGTCGTGCTCGGTGCGAAAGAAACATGACCAAAAAGCACGACGCTCCTCGAAATAAGCCATCTTCTGCTGGTGACACGTGTTGGCAGTGTTTGACATCGTACAAGGCGATCTCTAGCAAGGCGACTTTTCACGATGGCATCGACGTCGTCTCCTGGCATTTTGCCACCGAACCACAATGCTCGTGCCCCTGACCGCAAAAGATCGTCACGAAACTTCGTGGTCTCCGTGCATCGCCACGGAACCACGCAAGGTCATCACGAAAGCAGCCACCACGACGCCTAACGGCGAGAGGTAGCCACCTGAGCACCTCAACACAAAACCTCGCCACATGAAACCCTACGAAATGTCGTCCCCAATGAGCTGCAGTTGGATCACGAACGGTGTGACGTGGCGGACTGTTATGTGGTACAGGGTACAGGGCCCTAGTGAAGAGCACCCGAGAATGCCCTGATGTAGCGTTTGTGAGGTTTGAGACTAAGGCGGTGCCGGCACTCATGGTCAGTTGGTGGACTGCTGGTGGGGCACTCTTGGCGACCGGAGTGCCGGAGCGCATTGAGCTCTAGCCAGCCTGCTCGTCTGCCCGAGTGGACCGCGCATCGTGAGCCTGCGTGCCGTGCCGAAGCGTGCCGCGGGCTGGAACGCCTCTCAATCCGAGCGAGTTTCCGCGCTGACCAGGAACAAGCCCTGGGCTTAAGCTCTTATAGAGGCGTTTGACTGAGCTGCTAAGCAAAGCGACCGGTCGAGAGTGAGTCACTGGCATGGCCGGGAGTTGTGGGACCAAGAGGAACCACGTGACCAACACCGACGAGGTGCGCGAGATTGAGGGAGCTCAGAACTAGGAAATGTACCGGTCTCATCATAAAAGAGAATGTATTCTAAGAACAGAGACGTTCCCGCAAGTCACGCACTCAGGTACGGACCATGTGTTGAAACGTTGCGTTTCGGAAGAACTGATCCGCGCGAGTGTTTATAACACGGTTGTGAACAATGAGATCTTACCCGACGTACTCTGGCCGGTTGCGACTTTTTGATTTAGGGTCATGGGGAAGAGTTCTTCATCTTTCTCAAGAAATTCTCAAAACATTCATCCCTCACAGACTAAAAGACCCAGGGCTGCATCTCGTGCTGCCCTGGTCCAAACTGACCTCCCTTTCGCCGTGAGGGAGACCGGCTGGCGGTGCGGACTTCCCCGGCGGCGGCGGTGGCGCCATCTGTCGCGGCGCCCGTCGCCGGCGTCGGCTCGGCGCCCGGCGCCCGCCCTCGCGCGCGTGACGCACCCTGCCCCTCGCGGTCCCACCGGCTCTGCGTGTTCTCTACCCGCGGCGTGGATAGCACGTGCCCAAGCGACTCGCTTCCAAATCTCGGGACTCAGCTCCGCCGTCGGGACGCACCCTGGGCGGCACGTGCAATGGAGTCTCTCGCGGGACACTCGTACTGCCCGGCGGACAGGAGCGGAGCACGAGCGCGGCCGAGGCGTTCGCATCAAGCTTGGGTGCAAACGTTGCGGAACATGTGCCGGAACGTTCATCGAACTCTTCAGTGCAGTTCGTGATGGAATGTGCACAGCTACTTACAAGAATGTGCAGCCTGTGCGTTTTGCAGGTGTTGCCTAGCCCCGCAACTGTGTCCTTTAACTAAACGTGTCCACTGCCAGGTAGTGGGCCGGTCCCCTCCCCAGCGTACCGTGCTTCCTCACGTTGGGTGTCTCCCCAGCTTCCCGCCGTAGGAGCGGGAGAGCTGAGGAACTATGGCCTCGTCACTTTTCGTGGACGTTTGACATTAATCATATGGTAACGCGTTGAAAAATCTAAGATTCCACTGACAACGGTACGTGCCTCTTTTTCGAACGTCCATACAGCCGTGCGTGTCGTCACTTCTCCGTCCGAGGGCCCGGCTGCGGCTGCGCTTCCAGTATTTGTACAGGGCATCGACTGCCGCTGACTGGCGGGTGACCATATAAGGCATCACACATTTCAGATGGACGCACCTTGTATGCGCCGTGACACGCGCGCTCGACCGCACTGGCTGTGGCTGTCTCTCACGAAAGCCTCGGCTGGCGCGCCTGACCTTGACCTTGACTCTCGGCAGCGTTCATCATCGGCATGCGCATCTTCGGGCCGGTGTTCGGGTTCGTGCTGGGCTCGCTGTGCACGTCCATCTACGTGTACCCGACGCAGCAGCCTAACATCACCACGCGCGACCCGCGCTGGGTCGGCGCCTGGTGGCTCGGTGAGTGCCGTTCGGGCGCGCGCGCTGGCCGACCCGATCCTAGTGGCTCAGTGAGTACCGTTCGGGTGCGCGCGCTGGCCGACCAGGTCCGGCTGGCCAACTCTATATGTAAGGAGCGCTGGCCCGGGAGATTCGGATCCCGTGCGTGGCGTCGCCGCCTGCCAAGGCGGAGGCTCCGCGTCATTTTAAGTGGTCGTCTGATGCGGCGCCAGAGTGAAACGTCAGCGATTGGCCGCCGGCGCGACGGCAGCACGAGGACACAGCAACGTTGGGCTGGCTAGTGGGGCTCAGTCGCCCAACTGTTGGAGAGTTTGTACTCGTGGCCGTTCCTCCAAAATTGCTGATGTCGTTGCGCGGAAAATAATACCAAATTATCCTTGAGCCTACTCAGCTCCCCACGTAAAGATTTCTTGGAAAAGTTCGGGTGGTCGAGCTGCCAAAATGGGCGTCTTTTAATGGCGAACTGTGAGAATTGGATCGATTTCAATCGAAGCTAGCGAGGCGCTGCTACACCTGCCATTCCGTGTTCTCCATCCATGCTCAGTCCCGACCTGGTTTGCAAGCCATTTCGTATACGTACCGTTACTTGAGCTGCTCGGGAAGTGCGTCATGCCACTTCCGAACATCTCACACGTAACCATGCATCGCAACACTCCTGCGGTGCACGGGGCACGTGCCGTTCAGATACTACTCGGTCACGTGCGAGGCATAACGTGGCGGGCCGCGAAGGCCGTATTTCTTTTTTTCCGGCCGTCACACGCGCGATAAAAAGACACCGCGATTCACATAAAGATCATTGTGGTAGGCCACCTTGCAACCGTCATGTCTTGTAAGTCCGTCATTTGGACAGCTAGTCTGCAGCGCTGTTATTCACGTTTGTCTCCACGTATGACCTACCTTATTTCACACTTACAGCATACCACATTTTCATTACGACGCTCATTTCACATTTCACGCTCGCTGTCGCCGGTGTCGTGCGGCGAGACTCGCACGAGACCGAAGCGCCAGGTCTCGCTGGTGTATCACCGTCCCATCCCAGCACTTACTCTTACATCTGCACTTCTTTTCGCGCGCGTTAACTGGACGCGATCTCCCTGTAATAGCTCGTGCGCACACTTCCATTGCCATGTCATGCGAGTCTGTCCGCCTGCCTCGCTGTTTGTCCATTCACGGGACCCTGGATCATTACTCGACCCGTATAACTATGGCTTAGGTGACGGGACTGCAGACGCTCGACGCTATCAGCCGTACCCAAGCGGTGAGCAAAGGCAAGGGTGTTGGATATCGTTCCCCGGTACTAATTCGGACTCACGAGGTTGCGTGTCGCATTTTATTCCCGTTATTCATCATCGGACTCCTGCAAAAAAGGGACTACAGTGTAAGTCATGGTCGTAGGGCGTCTGCTCGGAAACGTGCCCATTGCTGTTTACTCCCATGCCCAATTTACGGAGGTTCGAACCCGTCTCTAAACATCGATAAGCATGAGAAGCTGGCATTCTTCAAATTATGTCCTCATTACCCGAGTGCATTTGCGTGTAGCGAGCGCAGACCACCAACTGTAAACACTCAGCGTGGTGCGCGGTATCTCGACCTTTATTCAGCATCTTCGGTACTATTCCACCAAACTCGAGCACGCTATTGCGCATCCATCTCGCGAAGGGCGTCCTTGACCGAACACGGCCACCCGGACGCAACGGAACACCCTGTGTGGTCGGCCGCGCCCGTGCCAGGTCGACGTTCGGTGCCGTATCAGCGCGCAGTCAGCGCTAGCTAGCGGCCGTCGCGCGGGGGCCGGACGGCCGCGGCCCGAACAGGCCCGCGGCGTCCCCTTACGCCGACGGTGGGGGCCACCGAGGCCTGAGAGCGCCCCGGGGCCCCGCCGCGGCAGCACGTGGCCAGGAGGGCGTGGTGTCTGGCGGCGGCGCTCCCTCCCCGCCGCCCGGAGGCCGGCTCAGTCACCGCTGCCGGAGCCGGACCCCGAGACGCGAGAGCGGGTCGGACACCGCCGCTCCGCGTTGGCGGCGGCTGCGGTCCCACCGTGGTCATCTGCACGGACATGTTTGTCTGCGGTCTGACCCTGAGACGTGGAGAGCCGGTTCTTTCATTTTATTGCGGTGCACGTGACGGCCGTCTCCATCTTAGAAGCTTGTTCCTTACCTTACAAAACGTCTCAATCTATACTTCGTCTTTACGCTCTGATACCTCAGCTATTTGCGCTGCGGTAGCCAGCGCTGCAGTTGTAAATCGTGTAACGGCTGTCGAAAATTGAGGGCCTGAAAGCGTTGTGTCACTTAATGCGATTCATGTATTGCGCTGAGTAGTTATTGACAGATATCAAGATGCAGGGAGAATTACGGTCCGCCTTTGAAGGGATCCAAAGTGCAAAGTCTGCTCGATTATTGCAGTGCGACATGGACCCTGTCGTTGACCTGCGGCCCGCCGTCTGATGTACGTCTGTCCGGCAGGCATGTTCATAATTTCTGGCATGCTGGCACTGAACGCCATCATCATGTTCGGGTTCCCGCGGCGCCTGCCACGGCCCGGCCCGTCGGCCGACCGGCCAGCCAGCCCGGTCAGCCCGGCGCACGCCGCGCCCGCCCGCAACCCCAGCCTCAGAGGTGAGCACAACCGCCCGTAACCCCAGCCTCAGAGGTGAGCACACCCGCTCGTAACTCCAGTCTCAGAGATGAGTACACTCACTCGTAACTGCAGCCTCAGAGATGAGCACAGTCGTCCGTAACCCTAGCCTCAGAGGTGATCACACCCGCTCATAACTCCAGGCTCAGAGATGAGTACACTCACTCGTAACTGCAGCCTCAGAGATGAGCACAGTCGTCCGTAACCCTAGCCTCAGAGGTGATCACACCCGCTCATAACTCCAGGCTCAGAGATGAGTACACTCACTCGTAACCGCAGCCTCAGAGGTGAGCACAGTCGTCCGTAACCCTAGCCTCAGAGGTGAGCACACCCGTCCGCAACCCCAGCCTCAGAGGTGATCACACCCGCCCGCAACCCCAGCCTCAGAGGTGAGCACACCCGTCCGCAACCCCAGCCTCAGAGGTGATCACACCCGTCCGCAACCCCAGCCTCAGAGGTGATCACACCCGCCCGCAACCCCAGCCTCAGAGGTGAGCACACCCGTCCGCAACCCCAGCCTCAGAGGTGATCACACCCGCCCGCAACCCCAGCCTCAGAGGTGATCACACCCGCTCGTAACTCCAGCCTCAGAGGTGAGCACACCTGTCCGCAACCCTAGGCTCAGAAGTGAGCACACCCGCCCGCAACCCCAGCCTCAGAGGTGAGCACACCCGCTCGTAACTCCAGCCTCAGAGGTGATCACACCCGCTCGTAACTCCAGCCTCAGAGGTGAGCACACCCGCTCGTAACTCCAGCCTCAGAGGTGAGCACACCCGTCCGCAACCCTAGGCTCAGAAGTGAGCACACCTGCCCGCAACCTCAGCCTCAGAAGTGAGCACGTCCTTAGCCTGGCCCCAGAAATGGGGATACCCGCTTGCAACCCCAGCCTCGGAGGTGAGCACGTCCGCTCGTGCAACCCTGGGCTCAGAGGTGAGCACACCCGACTGCAACCCCAGCCGACTGGCAATCAACCCATGAGGGTAGAGGAGCATATAGGTCTAGTTAATGGGAAGGAATGTATGTCTGTATGTTCTGATGGATTTGAAATGAGCTCGCAGGGGGCATGCAAGGATCAAACAATTATTTTGTGATGTTAGATCTCAATCAAGTTGTGGCATATTAGAGTGCTTTAAGTCAGGTCATGCCCAAATCAGGTTTTGTCTCGATGAAGCACCGATGTCAGTCTATTCCGCTCCTGACTTTTATGCACAACGAAGGGCTCAAGATTATGCATCCTGAAGCCCCCGTCAGATACTCTCGCATCGAGATTCAGGCAGATCGTGTCATCTCACGGCTGCTACGGCTGCTCTTGTGCCCTGTCGCAATCATGGGGCCTCCGTCGTCCCCCGTCGGCGGCGGCAGCGTCGCCCGGCTCTGTCGTTCTCCCGTGACGGATGTGTGGGCCCGGCAGAGTTCCCGAGAGCCGTCAAGCACCTGCTACAGAACGACGTGCTCATGTTCCGCACGGCCTCCAACGTGCTGCACGTGCTGCCCATCGCCGGCCTCTACACCTTCCTGCCCAAGTATTTGGAGACGCAGTTCCGGCTGACGGCCAACGCTGCCAACATCATGGCAGGTGGGCGGAAATGTTCCCGAGTCTGGACGGAGGCCTCGACCTCCGGACAGAGACGGCGCCCCAGGCATCTGAGTCTTGGCCGGGCACCTCCGACTGCTCGAGTACAGCAAGCGCCGAGTGGGAGGGGCACTTGAGAAGGAGGCTGGGCGCTTGCCGACCTGGGAAATTGGGGCAAGGGAGGGAAGAGGGGGAGGGGAGTGCAGGGAGTGTGTGGGCCTTTACTCGTGTGTGTGTGTTTAGATGTGAGTAAGATGCGCATGCTCTCGCAAGGTCTGCAGCACATGGCTAGGAGCGTCGTACGCCGCTGCGAGAATAGGTCGCTTCCGACGTTTAACCGTCAGCAACGCCCGCGTCTTTGCTGTGTGGATCGCTGGCTGGCTGCCTGTTGAAGGAAGGCTTGAAATAGCTCCGTCATGTAATCTACGCTCCCATCACCCAGCCCCCGGAAGCTCTGACGCTAATGACATGACACGTTGCATACGTTGGATGTAACTCAAGTCACACGTGTGAGGCGCGTGTGAGGCACGTGTGAGGCACGTGCTCTAGCCGGCCGCGTCTTCCTCTCCGCCGCGGTCCCGGTCTGCGCGACAGGAGAGGTGACTGGCGATGGTCGCGTGTATGTTGGAGCTGGCGTTCGCTCCCGACGCCCAGCACAAGCGTGCGTGGTGCGCTGGTGGGCCTGCGCTGTCCACCACACCTCCCGCCTGACCTTGCCGTTCGGCGGCGCAGGCCTGGGCGGCATCCTGGTGATGTTCCTGGGCATCCTGGGCAGCGGCTTCTACATCCGGCGGTACCAGCCGTCGGCGCGCTTCATCACCGGCTGGATCGCCATCTCGGCGCTGCTCTACTCGGCCGGTAAGACTCCGTCACAAGCGTCAGTCACGACTCACCACTCACGACTCACGAGTTCACGGCGAACTGTCTGTGGCCTGCAACCCACGGACCAGTAATTCGAGTCGTGTGGCGTGGCCGAGCGAGGTGAAAACAGATACGAGATGCGTCAATTACATTCACGTATAGGTGGCGCCAAACCCATGCCAATGGGACAGGAGAAATTTGGATGCCCATTGAAATGAATGAGTTATTAGAATCGGGAAGCCCGTGCGACATTAGGGTCTAACTGGCAGTGGTCACTGATTTAGTGCTATCACTTGAGCTCACGAATCACATTGCTTAAGTTTTGCGAAAAACGCGCATGTCTTGAACGGATATCGGTCACAGTGACGAGATAACGCGGCTGTCTAGTTTGAAGGCCCATGTGTCTGGTTTCAAGCCACACAATGCGTTGCATTCGGTGCCGACTTTTCAGTGGCTGACACTGGCTGCTTTCGGGCCTGTTGCCGACGTACCCAGGGGGTCGCACATTGTTAGGATCGCTTGAGGGTTGGCGGACGATCCGTACGTCTGCACCATGCGGCTGGCTCGGCGCCGGCACCGTCTGCGGCTGCGAGGCGCGACACCAGTCCTCGAAGCGCCCTCAAACGGACGGGTCCACGTTGTACGCATGGGCACGCTCGACTGGGCGCCCGCATCGACCGACCCTGGCGCTGGTGCCATTGTTCCTCCTGATCTGCACCTGACTGTGCGGTTTCGCCCCGCGGCGACGCTGGGTCGTCGAGAACGGGCCCGGCCTGGGTCTGCTAACCTCGTCGTCCCAGCAGAATGTGTAACGCCGTGCGGTAATCAAATGGGGAAGGTGGTTTTGTTGACAGTTCAGTGTTTTAGAGCAATGGCGTTTGGCCAATGCATGGAAACGCCTCAAATTACAAACAAGATTTGTATCAATTGTCTGCTTGCTGTCATCGAAGCCCTCGTGATGTTGCCGTCCTTGATAACCAAGATAGCATTTATAGGTAGCTCAAAGTATTCTTGTAACATTTGGTACAAAATTTTTTTTTTGAAGTGTGAGACCAATGTGGCATTATCTCTGGTTCCCTTTTCACCTGGCTGAAATCTTACTTGCCACGTGCGTATTATTACATATAAACGCACATACATGCCTGTGTATGCATATAACTTGGATATGGGGAGGGTATACTAGGTATCCATTCAAGAGAGATACCTGGGAGTATTCCGGGGCATCCTTCTTGAATATGCCCCTTTACTTCTTTGCTCCTTTTTCTACGACTCCGATGTGAACTCTTCGTGTTGGTTAAAACAACGCTCATATATATATATATATATATATATATATATATATATATATATATATATATATATATATATATATATATAGCGACTTCTTTACCGGCCAAAACGAATAAGACATTCTGCTGTTCAGAAATGATCTTGACAGCGCCGACAAGCCTCAGGTGGCTGAATCTATCCAACAACGCATCTTGCCTGCTCAACGTTTCACCAGCTGAAGAGCAGTTAGCCTCTGCTGGCAGCCGGCGGTTGTGCTCGGCGACTGGACCATCTGGTCACAATGTGGTGCCCGGCGACTGCGTCATCTGGTCACGATGTGATCTGGTCACAATGTGGTGCCCGGTGACTGCATCATTTGGCCACCATGTGGTACCTGGCTGACAGGCAGCCGGGTCTGCCATTCCCTCTGCGGGCAATCACCTGCTGTCCTCTGTCACCCCACCCCTCCTTAGGATACACGCGGGTATTTTTATTATTTTCATTATTAATGAAGCATGACGTCATCCGCCAGGAAGTGTGACGGTCACGCCCGGCGGGGCTGCCAGTTCAGAATTTCCTCCCACTTCAAGTTCGAACGGCCCCCTAGCGGCCCCCTAGCAGCCCCCTAGCAGCCCCCTAGCGGCCCCTAGCGGCCCCCTAGCGGCCCCCTCGGCCGGCGACCTCGTCCCAGTCGCAGCGCGCCACCCGCAGATCGCATCTACGAGCGTATCGCGAGATCTGGCGTTCGGTTCCCGTTGCAGGAAACTTTCGCGGATTCCAGCTCGTAGCGGGGCGGGGCGACGCACTGCACTCGTCCATGAATGATCTGAGATAACTGGGTCACGAGTCGGGACTCGTACAATCCAAGGGCAAATATTTCTAAGCACTTTTTGTGACAAATTCGCACGAAACACGCTTTGCAGCCGACGGACAAAGATGATGGGTGGACTGCGTCGGCTTACACTTACCTGATTGCATAATAGCGATCAATGTAGTCTCAAGGCTTACATGTCAGGCTTTTGAACAATGAGTTGCTATTTGTCGTTGTACCCAGAAATTGACTATCTACGGCTTTTAAGGCGGGGCCGGTGACTGCTTTTTCGTGTTTGGCTGAATGCTTATCGACGTTGTTAGTACTTTAATATTTAATTCAGGACAACTTCTCTTCACCTTTTGTTCCTGACTTGCAAAAAGGCATGCATAAAACGCTGCCAGCCTCTCCAGAATGTGAAGCGGGGTATGTTTGATTACCAACGTGAGCATGTCATGTTGGTGAGACCTTGTACCTTGTGTACAATTACGCCAATGATGATTCCAAATACTGGGAATATGCCTACATGATACGTTGGTTTCAGGCATGGCAATCCTGATGTTCGTGGGATGCCACCAGGATGACTTCGTTGGCCTCCAACAGGGGTACGTGTTGCGTGTGTACCGATGGTGCTGCTTTCGCCGCATTTGGCGATAATGTTCTTAATAAATGCGAGCTGCATTCTATTTAACTGTACAGTATGCTGTAAATATGCCTCGTCGTTTTGACGGGCACGTGATCTCCGGGATCGTTTCACATCTCAAGGCTTGGACCACAGGATCGCTGACAGGTGAGCAGGAGCCGGGCAAAAAATTGACAGCGAAGTAGAATGTCAAGCTAAACACGTTCTCTTCTAGTTTCCCTGGCTAGGTCGCGAAAGAAGTACAATATTTTCCCTTCTGCTAAAAGGATTACATTATTTGTGAGATAAAAACACGTCATGATGCCGCAAGTCGAAGCGGACGAGCCAATTTATGCCTCGCTACCGAGTTGGTCTCTTGCTCATTTTATGCGTCATCACCCGGTCGAGGCCTCTCGGTGTGACCGGCGCCACCTGGCGGCTCGCCGGCCCCCTCCCCTCTCCCCTGCCGCCCACGCTCAGCTTGCTCTCCACGGCGCCGTTTGGCCATCGCCGCACCGTGAAGACCTGGCAGCGGCCGACTCCCGGGAGAGGGGGGGGGGCTGCACGGGTGTGACCTCTGAGGACCCAGGCCCGCCCAAACTGGCGCGAGGCGGAGAGCCGCTGGGGTGGGGGTGTGGGCCGGTGTGGGGCCAGCTGACAACTTGGCGTACAGGTCATCGATTTCGCCGTGTCATAAGCTTCAGTCGATTGGGCTCACTGCTATCTTAGAGATATTGAAACAGGTCGATATATGCACATGCAATGTGCGCCTTCTGTCTGCACGTGTGTCCTCCCAGCGGCTCCGTCAGCGTCTCCCCCTGTCTACCAACGTTCGGCCAGTGCCGCCATCTGTCTGCTCTTTCGGTCAGCGCCATTCGGTCACGGTTAGTGTTCCCCATCCATCTGTCTGTTTGTCCAGTCAGTCCCCCTCCCCGCCGTCTGCTGCCACCCGGCCAGTGTCGCCCCGCTTGTCCGTCTGTCCAGTCAGTGCCGCGTCCCCCCACCTGCGACCGTCTGGGGTACGGCGCTGACCCCCAGCCGGCCGCCGGCAGGTACGGCGCGGCCATGGTCAACACTACGTGCTCGTCCCACTGCGCCTGCCCGTCGGACGAGTACGCGCCAGTGTGTGGCGCTGACGGCTTCACCTACCTGTCGCCGTGTCTGGCCGGCTGCACGGAGACGGCGGCCGGGCCTGGCGCCCAGCAAACGGTGCGCGCTGGCCCCCCGCTCCGGAGGGAGCTGGCGGCTGGCGGCGGGCGGTCTTGTTGCTGCCTGAAATCAGGGCAACCGTAGTTACTGGATGGACAAGGCTCACGGGCATGATTTGGCTAGCATGAGTAAACACTGAAGTGTTTTACCCGATGCATTTATATGCTTGATATAGCAAGAAGAAAACGTCAGTTTGCCTGTTCTTCGTGATCGGATATTTTCATACCATTCGGCACTAGGTGGTGCGGTTGTTTGCCGGTTTTGCCACTGTAGCTTTTGTCTGACACGACGCTCCTGGGTGTTACAGTATCAGAACTGTAGCTGCATAGACGAGGTCAACACGGGGGCCACCATTGGCTACTGCCCCCTCGACTGTGATAACTTCTTCTGGTACGTATGACCTGGTTTGGCGGATTATCCGCCGAGGTGTCGCTGGGGTTCTAAGTTGATATCATCAGCCTTCAGCATTATCTGCTGAAGTGGTGCTGACATTCTTGGCTGATATGATCAGCTTCTAGCACACGCAGCCGGAACCCTTGCCCCGGAAGGACATTTTTCTATGCTAACCCAGTTCAGTTACACCACAGCTCTGGGTAATGCGCACCAGCTTACCACGCCCAACGCTCACCCAAGACACATGTGGGGAGAATGCGTTCGGCATTTAGTGCCGTTCACTCAGTAGAGGGCGCCACGATGCCGCACCACGGCTGTGGGTGCCGGCCTTCTGGTCACGCTGCCGTCCAAGTTCGTGTCACTGACGCCGGCCGTCTGTTTGTGCCGCCGTCCAATCTCGTGTCACTGAAGCCGGCCGTCCGGTCGTGCTGTCGTCGAAGCTCATGCCACTGACGCCGGCCGTCTGGTCGTGCTGCCGACCAAGCTGGTGTCACTGGCGCCGGCTGTCTGTTTGTGCCGCCTTCCAAGCTCATGCCACTGACACCCGCCGTCTGGTCGTGCTGCCGTCCAAGTTCGTGTCACTGACGCCGGCCGTCTGGTTGCGTTGTCGTCCAGGCTCGTGTCACTGACACCGGCCGCCTGGTCGCGTTGTCGTTCAAGTTCGTGTCACTGACGCCGGCCGTCTGGTCGCGTTGTCGTCCAGGCTCGTGTCACTGACACCGGCCGTCTGGTCGGGCTGCAGTCCAAGTTCGTGTCACTGACGCCCACCGTCTGCTTCCAGGTTCATCCCGATCTTTTGTGTGTTCGTGCTGATTCACTCGACGTCGGAGGTGGGCGCCATCCTCGTGACGCTGCGCTGCGTCGACCCGCACGAGAAGGCCCTGGCGCTCGGGTTCATAGCCGTCGCCATCGGCCTGTTCGGTGAGTGCAGAGGGGTTGGGGTTGGGGGATGGATGGGGGGAGGTGCTGCTGCTGGTGTCTCGTCGATAATAAAAGTCCCGCGCCCCCGGACACGTGACTTAGGTGTTATACTTGCCTCGGCGCGTGCACTCGGTGAACGTAGGGTGGTGGCCATCCGACGGAAATCAGTAAACAAAATGGAAGCAGGGCTCCCACGCCAATGGAGGAAATATGTAAGCTCAACATGAGTGATTTATGGACATTCTGTGAAGAAACCGGTCTTTCAGGAGTTAGTCATCACTCTGGTATTCACTTCAGATCACAGTCACCAAATGTATGGGGTTCGCACGCATTACGCATTTTTCTAACGTGAAGGACAGGTATTGGCGATATGTTACTACCGGCTTACCTTACACATAATAGCGTGTCACGAAGTACGCTTATTTTGCGGCTGTGATCTAAAAATCAACCGTTCTGAAAAGAAAATTATGAAGTATTTGAAAACTGTCCCAACCAACAGCCTCATGCCATGACGTTTTAACGTAATGAACAACGCTTGGTGATCGCCCTGGCCTCCTGCAACTGATATCATTTCAATCGGTTGCAATAAATTACTGCTACAATTTTTTCCATTCCGATTTTACTTGGTGAATGCAGATGAATGATTGTAATGAAATTATTAAGAGTAATTGCACTTGGTTGATACCAATTTTCGCTTGTATTCATCCCATGATCAGTGATGCTCTATCAATGTTTGCACTCGCTGAGATCATTAGCGTTACTGTAATCGAGGGCTAACGATAGCGCTCTCCGACGGCATGGGACGCTGCACAGGGTGGATCGGGCTTGTCATCAGGTATTGCAGATATGACGTGTGTGGATAGCGTGATGTCTCGCTGTACCGTCACGCAGAGGCTGTCCTCCGCGCTTCGGCGCGTCCCCAGCGCCGTTCCCGACGTGCGCAGTGCAATGTGCACCAGTGCGGCGTGCGCGCGCGACGAGGCGTGAGCGCACCGTGCCGTGAGTGGGACGCCGCGTCTGTCGGTGTTGCAGGTAACGTGCCGTGTCCCATCATTTACGGCGCCGTGGTGGACTCAGCCTGCCTGCTCTGGCAGACCAACTGCGACCAGCAGGGCGCCTGTCGGCTCTACGACACCGAACGGTTCCGTCTGCTGTTTTTCGGTACGTGCGTCTCACTGACGGCGGGGTGGACACGCACATTCGCGCGCAGCGCGGTCTAACACGCACGCGCTCAGCACGCACGCAGCTCGCGCACGCATTCGCACACGCCGCGACTGCTGACGAATGCTTGTGGTCAGGTACGTACGCAAACATGAACATGTTCTGTTGACATCCGCATTGCTCACCACCACATAAACATCCGGAACCGCGCGTGCGTGTAAGTTGTTACGCTGTGGGCATGTGTTCACTCGGGCCGGCCTAATTCCTTAGCCCGATGTTGTGACGTCACTGCCGACATACCGCACGTCTGGTCGTTATCGTGTTAGGCCAGGGATGGGTGCTTGCATGCACGCTTTCACTTGCATAGCCTAACTGCATCACGGGATTTTGACGAGTTGTACACAGGTGCCACAACAGAGCACATTCACTCTGCTGGTTTCCCATGCACGCGGCAGAAATGATCTGTGTTGCGCCTTGTTCTGTATGCCGGATGCAAGAGAGCACCCGCGATTCAAGCGATTTGTGCTTTGCTGCCTTGCTTTTCCGTTTAAATATAGTGATACCTTTCAGGGAAACCTGATATAGTGGTTCTGTAAGTTAACGCAAAGATGAAAAGTATTCATGTGAAAAGCGCTGACATGCTGTGCTTCCTTTTGTTGTGATGTTCGTAAAATGATGTGCCTCTATGGAATGCAAGTGCGACAAAGTGTTGCACTGAATTTTGCCCCGAAATTATGGAGCTACATAAACAGGTACCATATTTGTATTTAAATTCATATGTTTCGACACATGGGCGCAAATAGCCAGACCATCTATTTTCATGCTCGAGAACGTCTTGAACCTTGCTATGTTCTCCTTGCCTTCACTATTGTCGCACCTGTTGATTCTTGACAGACGCATGTATTACTGGCGAGCCCATACGGCGACCACCAGCCCATACGGCGACCGGAGTAACGCGCTGGCGACTCATTCGTGTATCAGGCTGTTGCAACACTTTTGTTGACATTCATTGTCCGCACGTTTATGTTAAGCCATCGACTGATCCAGAGCGTCCCGTTAGTATAGCACAAAAGGGTCATTCCTGAATACTTCTTGACGCCCTGCGCCTCAATAACACTAGATCTCTAGCATTATACCCCTGGTGACGCGTGACAAGAATGCCATAAAAAGTCCGAAAAAGTCCGAAATTGGCGTTTGGGAACCATTTCCGGGAGGCGTTTGCTGTTGCGCACTCGCCTAGTGAGGGGTTCAAATAAGCTTCAAGAAACAACCATGTCCTTTGTCGACCCCTAACGGCGTTGGCATGTAGCCGATAACCTAGGCAATGGCCTGCGCGGCCAGTCTCCTAGGAAGCGGTTTGGTCCCTCCCTGCTAACCACCCACCCTGTCCCCGCAGGCATCACTTCAGCGGTTATGTTCGCGGCATTTCTGGTCGACTGCGTCGTCTGGTACAAGGCCGGCAAAATCAACGCGTCGTCGCCGGCCGACCTGCACCAGAAGTCGCCGGCCCACACCCGCTCCCCGGGCGAGGTCGCGGGCCAACCCGAGGCCGTGCCCCTCAAGCACGGCCCCTGACGGGGTGTCAGAGACCGTACGCCACGGGTCGCCGAGACCTGCCGACAGTGGGTCCCCGCGCGGAAGTGGTCACCGGCAGGACAGCGTCGCCTGAACGGGGCAGCTGTGTCAGAGACTGCACCCCGGCGCCACGGCAGGGCGGGCGGGGCTGCGCCCGCTGCATCTGATGGCGGGCCGGGTACACGGTCCGCCGCGGCTGTGCCGGAGGCTGTACCCGTCGCCGAAGTCGCGTACGTAGCCGTACCGCCCCGCTGCGGTTAGTCCGTCTTACGCGCGGCCGTCTTGACTCACCGATAGACCAACGTATGCCACCAGACGCGCCGTGAGGCCGTGTGAACCCGTACCTGGCCGTGCGACACGTGAAACTCCGGAGCTGGCGGCGTGCGTAGTTCCGGGAAAGCCGGCGAGCGGCAGTGGCCGCGCGCGGACGGGTTGTCCACGTTGGAGTCCCGGCTCCACCGGGGCGGGGCCCCACCGGTCCCCCGCGGGCCCAGAGGCTGGGTCCGGGAGTGTTCAGATCAGTGACTCGGGCCAGTCCGGTCTCTGTTCAGACCAGTGACTCGAGCCAGTCCGGTCTCTGTTCGGGCTAGCGACTCGTGCCAGTCTGGTCTGTTCGGGCCAGTGACTCGTGCCAGTCCGGTCTGTTCGGGCCAGCGACTCAGGCCAGTCCGATCTGTGTCTAGGCTAGTGACTCTGGTCCGTCCGGACTGCGCCCAAGCTAGTGACTCGAGTCAGCCAGGTCCACTTTCCATGTCTGTGACGTGGCTCAGTCCGGTCCGCGCCCAAGCCAGTGACACGTGTCAGTCCGGTTTGTGCCCCAAACCGTTTGTGGGTTGTGGGCGGCTCGAAGCCGGTCATGATGTACGTCCTCAGGGGAGAAACGTCGGGCAGTGGTGCGGAGTGCCTGGTCATGTTCCCTGGACCGACCTGACCTGACCCGGTATGAGTGGCTCTGTCCACCGCCTCGACCCCGGCTCAAGGGTCGACAGAGCGATTTTGATATATCCATTGCAGCCGGTACGCGCTGCGCGTGCATTTACCATCTGTGTCATTGTATACTTGAAACGCCGAAAGCGTCAAATTTCGTGTGCGCGTTGGCTTCCATGGTTCGGCTCACCAGTGTATCGTTGTCATGTGCGCACGCCGTCGCGGTATTTGTTGTATTATCGGTCTCTTTTATGATCTGTTTACCTGCTAAGCTGCGACTGTTTAACGTTGTTTAGATGTTTTAATTCTTCGTCGTCTACCGTACCCGTCTTGTTCGATTCGGAAACGTTATAGGAACTCGGCTACATTACTTTAAATGTCTCGCGGCTTCCGATAGTTTGAGCGGGGTTGATCGAGAGGTCGTTGCCCCCTCCGCCCTTGGTCGAGAGGTCGTTGCCCCCTCCGCCCCGCAACTGTGCCGTCCAACTTTAGCCTAGACCGCGGTCTTACTTCGCAACCTTACCAGTTGCTTTGTCTTTTGTGAGTTTGCAATATTGCGATCGTCCGCTCTAATATCCAATGCCAGATTTGTTGTATGTGGTGTCCAAATACGAATCATGTACCCCGTGCCAGAGGTGTTCCTTCCAATAACATGCTTACTGGGCCGGCACGGTCGGCACGAAGATGACCGGTTCCCACCAAAAAAATGAACCGACAAAAGACGAATCGAAAAAGTTCAACGCAGATAATCGAAACGGAAAAAATCGAATAACAAAAAGCCGGAAAGGGTACAAGAAGTCGCAAAAAATGAAGCAAAAAAGAAAAATAAAGAGGTAGAGAGAAAGATAAAAGCACAATTGGAAAGAGTTTAATGGCAAAATGTCGAAATGGATGAAGTTCAAATCTGAAAAGTCGTGGGATCAAAAGTCAAATGAAATAAGAGTCAAGTGAGAATAAAAGCCGAGTCGAAGAAAGTCGCGAGGCAAAATATCCGAAGGAAGAGACGCCGATAAGGAAAAGCTAGATCAGAAAACATTTCAAAGGAGGGAAAGTCGACATGCATACATTGGGATGGAATCTATTCCATTTTGCGTACATTGATATGTTTACATCCATGGGGATATTTACATGGATCGGGATATTTACGTGCATTGACATGTTTGCGTACATTGGGATACATTTGAATTGGGATGCAAGTACACGAACAGGTAGCCAAAGAATTTAAGGGCAGGAGAGTCACCAGGGCCTGACACCTGGTATGGAAGCAAATGTCAATGTTGCACTGGAACGCGGCGTGGACTCGGTTGGGCTCCGTCGCCTCGCATCCCAGGGCCCTCGAAGCCAGGCCCACCCGCGTGCACCCGGTAAACGCCCGCGGCGGCAGCCAGCCTTCGCGCCCTCACGACCGAGCCGAGCGCAAGGCGCCTTGAGACTATCAGACGGCCGATCAGCCGTGGGCACCCTGCCAGCTGCTATCTATCAACGCTCCTGAACGTTGTCTCCCCAGCTATTAGCTGGGGCGGTCGTGAGCAAAGGAGGCGGCCACGGCACGGGGCGGCGCCGGTCGCAAACCCCGTGTGTTTGTTAGTTCTGGTCCTCGATAGACACGTACCTGGCTGACAATGGTGGTTCCTGGTTCGCACTTCTCCCTGCCGAAAACGGGTTCTTGGAGACCGGGTGCTCCTACCACAAGCACCACCTGCTGGTTTCTGGATTCTGGACCTGGACCTGAATTTTGTTGTTCTGCTATCAGTGCATCCTGATTTCCGATCCGCACTGTTTTTCGCAGTTAAAGATATCGGTTCCTGGTTCCAACTGTTTTATTCACAAACGACAGAAACTACTTCCTGATATTTATATATTTTCCACGAACACAAGACCCTGATTTTAATTAGGCTTTCACAGGCACCAGAACTTGGTTCTCACGGGCTTGGCGCAAACACTAGACGCAGGTTTCTGGTACCCAATGTTTTACTCAGGAAACGCCAGATGGTACTTCCTAACTTTCATTGGCCTATTCGTGGACACTAGCCCAGGTTACCATTTGACAGTTATTGAAGAAAAATTGTTCAAAGTAAAAGATATATTGCATAATCACCCGTCATATTCTCGAATGCAAGGTGCATTACACCAGTAAACCGTGAATATGCCCGATACCCACTGGCTTCTGACGATAATTTCATGTAAGATTTTGTTCTCGCTGGTTTCCTTCATCTCCCTTTATCCTCATGGGTTTTTGCTTATTTTTGTGACACATTTCAGGTTAAACCTGTTTTCTTGATGTCTCGGCTGAATTCCACCCTGGTTCTTGGTTCCTGCTGGATGCCTTGGCTTTATGTCAAGCTGGATCTTGGGCTTTGGTTGCTTTTTCAGCACAGTTCGGTGTTGAATCCTGGGTCTTGATGCGTCTTACTTCGTTTGATTTCAAACTTGTTCCTGGACACTTCCTGGTCCCAGAACAAGGGACTGGTTCCCGAGAAGAGATATTAGGAATCAGGCACATGTCTGGTCGCGAGGAGAAATGTGACTATTAAGCTATGTCAGTAATTACCTGGATGCTTAACGGCATACATATGTTTCTTCTGTACTTTTATCTGTTTTCTCACGCATGCAATAGATTTCGTTTATAATAGATGAGCTATAGACCGGTAAGTTTGACAATTTTCAGAACATGTTACTTGAAACGCTGTTCGGTTTTTAACCGTGCAATTATCCGACTGCCTTTGCAGCGGGGTTCGTCCACAGGTAATACCAAAATGTTGACGTGCCCTCGTCGACATTTAGTTTTAGTTTCGATCTCCTCCCCGTCCACTTTCATCTCTACCTGTTTTTTTACCCTTGACTTTCCCGAGTGTGAGTGAGAGTGATTTTTCAGCACAACATTCCAGGATTCCTGTGGAATTTTATCCTTCTGGACTTCCCGCCTCCCCTCTTTCCGCTTTGATCTTTATGCCTGCCGAACTTTATCTGTTTCGGCTTTTTGTCTTTCGACTTTTCTCTGATACGTCTTCCATCCCTGTCGACTCCTTTCTTTGTCGGCTGTCTGCCGCTCTACTTTTTAGTTCGACTTTTTCCATTCGACCTTTTCCATTCGGCTTTTTGTCCGGACACCAAGATGGACAAGTGGATCGCTCCCCACCTGGCAGCGAGTCACCAGCAACGGGCCGCATGCTTTCAGTCCAACAACTTCACCTGCGGTTCAGGCCGCAGCTTTCTCTAGTCATGTTCAAATCACCTCCTGTAGTCATGTTCACATCTTTATCAAACGTTGAGTCACATGTTCAAATCACCTCCTGTAGTCATGTTCACATCTTTATCAAACGTTGAGTCACATGCCGCCACTGAAGCTTGTTGATTAGCATTCGCGGTGCTATTTTTAAGATAGATGACTAACTGACGCCAATTATGCTGCCGAGAACAGCCTACATCGACACCATGGTCACGGCATGTAAGTAACCGCTTCAAATACGTCCGGAGGTCTTACGCGGTTCCTTTTGACAAGCTGTGTACACTGGTAGGTTACTTTCCTTCGTGAGGTCAATAGCCGAGCATTCTGAACAGTGTCCAATGGAACGAAGTGGTTTACAGTGTATGGGGTTTTAACCTGAAATAACAATTTTGAAGCTCATTCAGCGCAGTTCACAGCCATGCCTTTTTGAGACGTGATGTCTTTTTTTCTGAATTTGACGTCCGTGAACCTGTGTAGACCACCTCGCGCAGATCATTTCAAGTCACCCAGACATGCATGACGTCAAACGTCACGCGAGTGCCGTCATTTCAATGGCCATGAAGTGCTCAAGGCTAGCACAAATATGACCATGGAATTATTCGTGTCTAGTGCACGTCAACACGCCTCGTGGCATCAACGAACATCAGTTGGTCTTCAATTGGCTCAACGCTTGAACGTAAGTTTCGAATATGAATCACGTTTTGGGCTGCGCGAAGCAGGAATTTGGGCGGCGTCACGAGTTATGGCGAGGTTCAGATTGGGATTGAAATAACTTTCAGCGTCACAACCGAGTATGCAAATGCAAGTAGACAATAAAGAAAAACGGCGGAATATATACGAACCGCAGGAGAAAGGCCCAAAAGGCGAGAACACGACAATATTTGGGCTAAAACGCTCACCGCCAAACAACCTACATTTCGGCACGTTGATGTACCGCAAGGAAGTTAGTCCGTCCGCTACAGTGGCAGTTCTGACACGGCCAGTCTGGCAGCGATTCCGACGTCATAAAAACGTTCCATGACGAAATCAAATATGACGCATCGAGAGACTTCTCTACTAAATAGTGAAATGTTGTTGTCTAGACGAGTCTTTTACACTCAAGGGAAACCCACAGACACAAAAAGCTTATTTTATCATATCTGATGCT